TTTTTTTTTTTTCCTCAACACCATGATTCCTTTAACAACATGTTTCCAGCATTCCCAGGTAGGCCAAGGTGTCCTACAGAAAAACCTTGGGTTAGACCTACAGGGGGTCTGGCTGGTGTTACAGAAGGGAGGGCAGAGCTGGTGCAGCTGGCCATGGAGAAAGCTGACTTGGCTGTTGTGGTACAGAGAAGCCAGCTTGTTTACATGCTTATTCCATGACTGCTTGCCCTAAGCAGAAAGTGCCTTTCAGGATCTATTTTTGGAGGTTTATTACGTATGTCTGGTTCTCAATTCCAACAGTTTAATGAAGATCTAAATAAAATGCTAGGTTCTACCCTAACTGTGTCCATTATTTTTAATTACACATATACATATACATATATATATAATGTGCCTTTAATAACCCTTGAGTACTAAGTCTAATTCAGGAACTTTAGTCTTGACCAATACTTTTGCAACACTATGACCCTAATTGGAGAGTAGAGGATTCAAAGACCCCCCTAATGGATTCCTGCAACCACAGATAATGCTGTGGTAAGAGGGGAATGGCTAGAGTAAGAATACCTTAATCCTACTTCAGGAATACTTTAACAGCAATCATGAAAAATGGGGAGTTCACTGCATACTGTACCTGTCCCTTTGTGGTGCTAAATGTCAAACCCCAGGGGTTCCACACAGGATAGGCAATTTATAGCCAAGCTACACCCCAGTGCAGTACCTGCATTTACCAGATTAGACATTCTGCCTAGTGTTAAGTGGCAATTAGATGGAAAATGTTACGAAAATGCACTGTAAATTCCTAGAGATGTCATTTATGGTAGCTTTTAGAATTTTTTCTCAATTTAGGGCAGGGTCTCGCTACATGTGATTCTCCAAACTACTGGGATTATAGGTGCACGCCACCATTCCTAGTCTTAGTCACCACTGTCTTGGTGCATCCTGGCACATTAAGCCCAGGGATCAAATACGGTAGTTTTTAGATAAGCTGTTGGCCACATCTTAATACACTGCACTCAAGGAGCACAAGATTCCTCCTGTGTGCAGGTTCGTGAAGACCTAAAGCTACCACTCAAGTGGGACAGGAGTGATGGGGAGCAACTGAACAGGCACTGCCTGCCACTGGATGGCTTCTGATGGCCACAAGCCTGCAGCACAGCTGGGCAGTGTCACCCCTGTTAACTCTAGCACTCAGGCAAGAGAACCACTCAGTCTGAGGCCAGCCTGCGAGCAGAACTAGGAAACTTTAAGCCAAGGTTTATTTACCAAAGAAACTTCTTTAGCTTCCCAAGTTCACATACAGGGCCTATTGTGCCCTTTCTGTAAAGGCATTATGCAGGTGGATGGACAGGGCCCTGGAGAAAGGCCAAGGAGTGAGGGCATGAAATAACAGGACACAGCAGTGATGGTGAATAGTTTGCAAAGCGTAAAGTATGGGTGCAGAAAAAATTATGAGTCACATTTAAGTTTTAAAAATTTGTACTTTCAGCATTCTGGGAAGTTGAGACAGGGATGGCAAGTTTGAGCCTAGCCAGAACAATTTGGTGACATCCTGTCTCAAATGGGCCTGGGCATGTAGCTCGGTGCCAAGGCCCTTAGTCTGAACCCTAAGCACTGCTGCCCAAAAAGCTGCCTTTGCTGTTCTCAAGTTCCAAAATGGGCAAGTACAAAGATAGAAATGCTGGAGTAAGATTTGGCTAAGGACATTGATGGCCCACTGCCAGAGAAAAAGGTTTTGCACAGGCCCTGATACCTGCAGCGATGGGAGTTAACAGCCGCCTATCATGGAAGAGCTTTTCATTTTTCATATAACCCCTGTCTCCACTTGTTTCACCTCAGCATTTTCTTTGGGGAAAAATGACCCAAGAGGTGCCCAAACAGGAAGGCTGCTTCCTTGAGTTACTTTTTGTAAGAGGCCCTTCTAAATGGAATAACTTTACTGGTTAAGAAAGGGAAATGGAGCCAGGGAAATAGCTCAGTAGAATAAGCGCTTGCCTGACAAAAAAAGAAAGGGAAACAGGCTAATAGCTGAAATTAGCACACCATTCTATGAATTAGAGCAAGGTGGCAATGTAGCTCAGTGGTAGAGAGCTTGGCAGGCAGGTGCAAAGCCCTGGGTTCAATCACTGTAAGAGTGAGGATTGAAGTGACCAGGCACTCTACATTGATCAGTAGCCCACACTGAACCAGAGCACCTTATCACCCTGCTTATTCAGCGTGAGCACAATGAACAGTGACCGTGCCTTGGTCTACCAAAGTAGAGAAGACTCCAGGATAAAGGCTAAAAGAATAGACAGGTAGTGGGAATGACAGGCTAAAGAGGTAGAATCTGGCTTGGTCAAAGTACACGTTCACTGAACTTAATTTTTTCAGAGGTTAGCAATCTAAAAGTTGTTCAACTTTGGCGTTATTCTGATTAAATCTTGATAACAGAGATGAAAAAAAAAAAAAAAACCTAATTGGCCATATAAACAATAGGGACAAACCCTAGAAGGAAAGAAGTATGATGCTGATCAAGTTTTGTGCATTTAGAACCTGATCTCTATCCTAAGTAAATTCTGAGCGTTAGGAGGAGGAGAGTGCCAGGGATTGCACGCAGGGCCTTCACACTGAGCTGTGTTTCCAGCTTTTTTTTTTTTAATGTATTTGGTTGTTACAGGGTCTCACTATGCAGCTCAGACTCATAGGGATCCTCCTGTTTTCAGCCCTCCCCGCACTGGGATTATAGGTGTGCACCACTATGCCCAGACTCTGGCCAATTTAGCCCACCCTGGGGGCAGGGCTGGCACAGCTTGTGGTGCTGGGATTGAACTCAAGCTTGCCCTGTTGCCAGTTTTTTGAGGCCATTTCACCAAGTCACTAAATTGCCCAGGCTGGGCTTGAACTTGTGACCCTCCTTGCTTTATCCTATTAAGTTTTAAGCTACGTTATTTCAGACTTGCTATTACCAGTTCTGAACACCACAAGGTCCATGGTGCAGGACCTTAAACAGACCTAAGTTTATACTGTCATCCACCCTACTAACTGGATGTCTGGGCAAATTACCCTTCAGTCTTAGCTTTCCAAGTATAAAGAGACTTACTGGCTGTTAATCAGTTAAGTGTGGTAGGGGCATGGTCACCATGATTGTAATCCCAACACTCAGGAGGCCAAGGATGGAGGATCCACAAGTAAGTGTTCAGGGCCAGCCTAAACTACACAGCAAGGTCATAGTTCCAAGGTTGAAGTGTGATAAGACATACACTACTTCATGCAGTGCCTAGCCCTCAGCAAGCACTTGAGCAGTTTCCTCTCCTAAGGAGCTGTTCAGTTTAACCATTTATCCCTTTATCCTAAAAACATCTCACAATGCTTCTAATTTCCTTATGGCTCCTCAGCCTGGAATTGAAAAATCTTATCTTTGCCTTCCTTGGCTCTTCTAAGCTACCATCTCAGTTGAAAAGAGAAAAATGTAAAAAAAAAAAAATCTGAGACAATCTTCTCAAATGTCCATTGCACAGCGCTGGCCTGTGCGTGGCTGCCCTCGCAGCTGCATCTCCTTGGGCCCCTCACAACTCTGAGTGGGTAGGGTTGGAATCTGGCTCAGGCCAGTTAGGACTGGAAGAATCTCTATTTGAAGGACTTGACTCTCCTGCTGGCTCAAAAGGCCGCAAGTTGGCATAAGTCACCTCTTGGGCTAGCTGCTCCAGAGAAGGGCGTCCCAGGAACAGATTTCGAAGTGATATACGCGTCATCAGGAAGCTGAAAAACAAGAAAAAAACTGCTTGGTCCAAATTTCTTTTAATGGTTTTTCTGAGATTGGGTCTCACTCTAGTTCAAGCCTGGCTCAAACTCACTATGTAGCTCAGGCTGGCCTCAAACTCAGTGATCCTCCTGCCTCAGCCTCCCAGGCACTGGGATTATAGGTGTGCGCCACCACACAGGCTCAGTCCAAGCTCCTGTTTCAACCTACCAATCCAGCAGAGCCCTGCAGGAGCCCCGTCCTAACTCCACTCACCCTGGCGTATTTGAGAATCTCCCAGTTTCCACCCCAGTGCCAGTGCCCATGTCCCCACTGGAAAGACACCCACTACCTATGCCATGTGCAGAAGATTCCAGGGAAGGGAGGGATAACCCACGGGGAAGCTGGAGACAGCTCAGGCACCAGACAGCAGGTCAACAGACACAAGGTGCTTATTGTTCTTCCCATTAGGAGAAAAGAAAGGGCAGGGAAAAGATACGTAGACCAGGCTGTCCTTTCCCTGGGGGGGACTCCAATGTTAATGTCCCTGGAGAAAAGTTACCATGCATGAACACAGGATGGCAAGGACGATCCTGCAATGGGTGAGACTGACCTTCGGCGAAAAACATACAGCTTCCGCAGTAAGAAGCGGAAGAACCGCTCATACAAAGGGGTATTTCTCCGCCGCTCAATCTCCTGAAGCCTTTGCTGGCGTCTAAGGAAGGTCTGAACCAGAGGTGTTGGCTCAGGACCCCCTTTTACTTCCCCTTCCAAGAGAGGCTGCAGCTCTGGAGGTAGAGGCCCTGTCTCTGCCAGAAGACAGGAAAAAAAAAAAAAAAATCACTGAAACTGACATTTACCTCCTTTAGAACTCTTCACCAATAGAGGCTTCCAGGCTGTTCTTTAATGGCTAGGTCCTCATTATAACATTGACTTGTTTTATTTTGGTTTTTGGTTATTTTTGAGACAGAGGCTTGCTATGTAATCTAGGCTGGCCTTGAACTCATGTGTCCCAGGCTGGCCTTGAACTCGAGGCAATCTTCCTGCCTCAGCCTCCCCAGTGCTGGGATTACAGTGGTATGCCACCATGCCTCAACCCTGTATGAGGGGGTTAAACCTAGAGCCTGGGGGTGGGGACTGTCTGAAGCCAGAGGCTACCTTTGCCCAAATGCGCATCTACTCACCACTTCCATTCTCCACCTTCTCCTTTAATTCTTGCAAATACGCCAGGTCTTGCTCCAGGGCAAGCTCCGTAGTGTTGACATAAATGTACATGTAGCAGGAAGGAGTTGGTGACACAGTGTACACTTTATGGTACTCACCAGCAGGCAACTGACAAGGGATAGAAATGGGTATATTTTGCTCTACCTCTCCCTAGCCAACCTGTGGCCCTCCTACTGTACCCCTTCTACCACCAGTTGTTTCTGAGACAGGATTTCACTAGGCAGGCTGGCTTTGAACTCAGTAGAGAACCCAGGCTCGCCTCAAACTAGTTTCAGCCTTCCAAGTGCTAAGCGCCCCACCTCGCACCTTTTTTCTGTGCTTAATCTGAAGTAACTGGCCCCCGGAATCGTGGATGAAGATTTTCACAGCCTGTATGAGAGTGTGTATGAGGGGGTTAAACCTAGAGCCTGGGGGTGGGGAAATAGCGCAGTAATATAAGCGCCTGCCTGGCAAGTGCAAGGTCCTGAGTTCAATCCCCAGTACCACAAAAAGACACCTAGTCTGTGTGTGCATGCTAGGTCTACCACTCAGCCACTCCCTCAGCCTGAGCTCTTGCCTGTTGACACCCCCATTGCATGACTGCTATGGGTGAGACATTTTCAGTTATAACAAACCCTGTTCACCCAAACTGTCTACCACTGTAAATCCCACCAAAATACCTGCATTTTTTCTCCCTCCTGAAGCGTCTGGTTCTTCTGTTCTGCCACCAACTCCACGGTCACCTCCCCCTGCAGCAGCTGAATGCTAGTATTGCCCAGGTCCTCACTCACAAAATTCTCCAAGTGTAGCCCTGCAGGGAAACAGAATTCCCCACACCCAGCTAGAACCGAGATGTCCCACATCCCCAAAGGCAGCCCTGGGAGAGCCCCGCCTATGGCACGGTATGCAACATCCCTGGCCACAGGCAGCCCATGAAAGAGCACTCTCCTCACTATCCTGCATACCTGGGAAATCTGCAATGAAGACCACCTCAGTATGGTTGTCTAGGCTGCTCTTGATTTCCTGTAACTTGGTTCTCCACGGAGATAAGTCCATCAAGAGTGGCTGCACCCAGGGTGTTCGCTGGAAAGGGGACCAGACAGCCTGCACGATGTCCACACGAGGGTCAAAAAGCCTTAGAGAAGAAAACCATGGGCTAAGGAGACCACAGCCACTCACCCACCCATAACTTCCGGTTGTTTCTCATTCCCAGCAAGAGGGAACAGGGTTTCCAGAGAGAAGAAATGGCCGGGTGCCAGCGTGTTATTGCCAGACCAGGGCAGAGAGAAGGGAAAGAGATTTGGGAGCCCTGGAAAGAATGGGGGTTAAGCGGCCACCTGACAAGGCACTGTGTTAAGAGAGTCTAAAAAGAACCGTCAGTTCATTTTTCTTCTGGATGATGGTGCCCCCTGCCGGACGCAATCAGATATGCCCACAACCAGGTCAACAGGGACATGCAGTAGAGCGGCAGCCTTTTAAGCAAGACAACTCCAGGGAACGAGAGCTGTTTGTTCATCTTGGCAGAAAGAGCTGCACTTCATTTTTTCCCATTCTCTGCTCCCCTTGCCCACCTCTGCTGGAAGCGGTCATTGATGGAGACCCAAATATCAAAGTAGATCTGGGGCTCAGTGACATTGTACTTGGGAAGCAGGCGGCTCAGGCAAGTGGCATACTGCTTCAGCATGTCTGCGTGATCCTTCCATCGTCGGCTCTGTGTGAATACCTGTCCCAAACCCCCACATTAGTCCCACTGGTCACCAACCCTCAGACAGGGCATACACTGCCTGCTGCCCATTTTAGCAAGGAAAAAAGAAATTTAGCTGGGCATAGTGGCACATGCCTGTAATCCCAGTACTCTGGGAGGCTGAGGCCGACCACAAATTCAAGCCCAGCCTGGACAATTCACCAAGCTGTCTCTAAATAAAAAATATATATATATTTTTAAAAGGTGTAGTATGTGAAGGCCCTGGACTTAATATCCCCTTTGGGACTGAATTTTTCACTGCTAGGCTAATAGTACTCATACTCACCTTTCCTAACTAATCTGAACTCAAAAAAATGGGAGACAAGGCAGGCATTGTGGCTCACACCTGTAATCTCAGCCGTTGGGAGGCCGAAGCAGGAGGATCACTGCAAGTTTAAGGCTGCACTGCACAGTAAAGCCAGCCTGTACTACACAGTGAGATCCTGATTAAAAACAAAGTGAGAGATGCTCCATCTCCACCCACAACAGGAAGGCTCAACCTGCCTCTAGAAAGAGGGCAAGGACACAAGTGTGTTTTACTTTATGGTGGGTGTAAGACCAAATTGGGCCCTGCAGCTCGCGCAGGCTCTGGAGAACAGTCTACTGCCAGCGTAAGTTGCCTCACCCCAGGGTTGAGGTAGCCCAGCTCGCCAGTGAGGCCGTCGCGGTAGGTGATCTTCACATGCTGGTGGGAGCGCGAGTGCACCATCATGTCCCAGGAGTAGCCGTACAGCCCGTTGGTCCAGTTGTTATAGCCCTGGCAGAGGGGGATCAGCTCAGTGTTTCTCACACCGACCCACGGTCTACCTGGAAATGGGTGCAGAGCCAGCCCACTTCATCCCAGCCCCCAGCCCCCTGCCACTCTGCAGGCACACGAGCTCCCACCAACCTGGGTGAGGAAGTGGGAATAGGGCAGGAAGAGCTGCTCCAGGAGGTAGAGCAAGGTGAAGGCGGCACCCAGCCGGTGGCGCAGTCTCGGCTTCTGGCTGCCTTTGGCCCGGCTCCTTTTATACACGCAGGAAGCACTGGGCTGAGGGGCAGCCTGGAGAGGCAGCAGCTCTTGGAGCCTTCGGGGACAGTAGGAGACCAGCTTCCGAGGCCACTCAGGGGAGAAGAAGAGAGGACTGCTGGCCAGCATGACGTAGGGGAACATACCTAGGACAGCAGAGGGCATTTCAGGAGGTAGTGTGGATGCCCTTCACCGCCCCCCATAAGCATCTCCCAGGGGTTCTGCCTGAGTCCCGGGGCCCACCGTGATGAGGCACGCCTGTCATCCCAGCACTCTGGGAGGCTGAGACAGGAGGATGGCAGGTTTGAGCCAAGCCTGGGCAACTCAGAAAATTCTGTCTCAAGGTAAAAAATAAATGAGAGGAAGTGGAAAGGATAAGGTATAAACAGAATTAAGATGAGTTACGTACATTTCTACATGTACCAACTCCCCACAATGAACTCAATCATTATGTATTGCAAACATACTAATAAAAATTAAAATGAAATAATAAAAAGGGCTGGGTATATACTCAGTATGAAGGCTCTGGATCCAGTCTTTAGCCACACACACACACACACACACACACACACACGTACGTCCTTGACCGAGGGCTGTACCCAGTGGCAGAATGCTTATCTAGCATATGCAAGGCCCTGGATGTGATCTGCTCTGTAACACACACACACACACACACACACACACACACACACACACACGCCACCATTTTCTTGCAGTGCTGGAAATGGAACACAGGGCCTTGTTCTTGGTAGGCAAGTACTCTACCACTGAGCTATGTCACCTGCTCATAAAATATTCATCTTTGAGGGGCCGGGGAAATTGCTCAGTAGAATAAGCGCTTCCCTGGCAAGTGCAAGGGCCAGAGTTCAATCCCCCGTTCTGCAAAAAAAAAAAAAAAATATTCATCTTTGGGGCCTGGGAGATAGCTCAGTAGAATAAGCGCTTGCCTGGCCTGAGTTCAATCCCTGGTTCCGCAGGAAAAAAAAAAAATCTTTTATTGTGATATTAGGGAATAAAGCCAAAATCTTTACACTAAGGTACATTTCCAGCCACCACCCCTCCTTTTTTTTTTGAGACAGGGCCTTGTTATGTAGCTCACAATGGCCTCAAACTCAAGGCAAGCTTCCTGCCTCGGCCTCCCAAGTGCTGGGATTATAGGTGTGTGCCACCACACGTGGCTATATTTTTTCTTCCAAATTTTGAGACAGGATCTTGCCAAGTTGCTTGAGTTAGGCATGCACCACCAAGCCTCTGGTTAAATTCAGTTTTTGTTTGTTTGAGTCAGGGTTGCTCTACCTAGTTCAGGCTGACCTTGAGCTCCCTTTGGAGCCCAGGCTAGCCTTAGAATCACTGTCATCCTGCCACAGCCTCCACATCTGGCCACAAATCTCAACTACAGAACACTTCTTGCTAGAGATTCCTTACTAAAGACACTGAGCCTAGAATCTGTCAGCTCAGTTCCACCTACTGCCCCTTGCCAGTGACCCCTGGGGCTCTGCTCAGCGCCCCCCAGCTCCCACCACCACATCCCATCTCCACATCCACAGTGCCTCCCTGTATACTAATCTCCCTGTGGCTGGCTACAGTGCTGACCGATGCTGAAGAGCTGGGAGTTCATGCAGTGGAAGTAGGATACGAAGAAGAAGCCGATGGGTCTCGAGGCGTCAAAGAAGAGCAGGAAGCCGGCGGAGAGGTCGAGCAGCAGCCCGCACCAGTGCACCACCAGCAGGCTAGTCAGCTCCTCGGACAACACCAGTCTGCAGACACAGGCACAAACGACAACCCTGCCAGCCCTCTGGGAAACCCAAGTCACACTGCATTCCAGCCCAGTGGGCCTCTGCTACCCTGTCCCTGCCAAAGGACACCGCCAGCTGGGCAGAACAAGGAGGGACCCAACCGGGACAAGCTCTGCCATGGGGTTTACCACACTCTTCACAGCTGCAGGTGTCCTGCTGCTTTTAACATAACCTTCTATGCTGAGCAAAGGCAGATCTAGAATGAGAGCTGATGGGAAAGTGCGCACGCTGTGGAGAAGGCTCCTCACGGAGGTCACAAATAAGAATAAAACTTAAAATCTGAATACTGAGTGAACAGGGTAAGCCAAACTTCAGAAGTTTAAAAAAAAAAAAAAAAAAACACAAAAGGAAGATAAAGAACAAAGAGCCAGCTAAATAGCTCAGCGGACCAAAGC